CCTCCCTCCCTCCTTCCTTCCTTCCTTCCTTCCTTCCTTCCTTCCTTCCTTCCTTCCTTCCTTCCTTTTGCGTGATTTTGAGACAGCGTTTCTCTGTAGCTTTGGATCCTGTCCTGGCACTAGCTCTTGTAGACCAGGCTGGCCTCGAACTCACAGAGATCCACCTGCCTCTACCTCTGCCTCCTGAGTGCTGGGATTAAAGGCGTGTGCCACCACCGCCTGGCAAAGTAGAATTTCTAATATCACGGATAATATAAGAAAATGAAGCATTCGGTTAAGTAACAGAGACCAGATAAGACAAGACTGTATCTCATTTTAATATGTTAGTAGAGTCACAAAGAAAAATGTTAATAGAGTCACATTACAAAGACAATGGTTGTGTATGATTCCATTTATAGAAACAGAAAGCAAAAGAGTGACTTCCAGGGGCAGGGCTAAGGGGAAGAAAGATGAGCAACTGAAGTACAGGTTTCCTTTGGGGTGCTGAAAATACTTTAGAGATGATAGAGCTTGTTGTGTAGTAGAAACAAATCCTCCTACAGCATCCCTCTGCGCCGCTCTCACCATGTCAGATGCAGAGATGCAGTCATGTGCCTGCTGCATCCCGCATCACCGATCTCACCATGTCAGATGCAGTCCCGTGCCTGCTGCATCCCGCATCACTGATCTCACCATGTCAGATGCAGAGATGCAGTCCTGTGCCTGCTGCATCCCACATCACTGATCTCACCATGTCAGGTGCAGCCACATGGACTCTCCCTTTACCCTCATAGCTCTCTCCACTTGTGCCCTGTGCTCCCACACAGCATCTTCTTGGTGTTGCCCAAAGGCACAGCCCATGACTCTAAGCCATGGGCACATGTGTTTGTTTCAGGTGCAAGCAGGAGTCCTATACCATGGCCTTGTGTTGATGACATGTTTGATCCATCTTTATGGATCAAAAACAACCACTGCTTCTTAGGGCCCCCAACAGAGCTAACAAAGTGGTCCAACTCACCAAACACGTCATCCAATTCCTTGTCCACTTTCCTCTGGACGTCTGGATAAGAACCCAGTAGGTATAAGGACCAGTTTATCGCAGCTGCGGTTGTATCGTGACCCTGAATTTACAAGGGGGAGACATTTAAATTGTTGTGGTATGTGTGAGGACAAAATTGAATTCCCTGTGTCTCACAGCAGCAGGAAGACTGCAGTACCTAACTCATTGAGCACAACTGCTCACCTCAGTGAGCAACAAACAGACTCTACAGCCTCTAGGCTAGGTGGGAGTGGTTACTTCCATAACTCCAGTACTTGGGAGAAGGCTGAGGCAGGAGGATTGCTTTACTGGTTAGGATTTACTGTCAACTTGACCCACCTGAGAAGAAAGGGACTCAGTTGAAGAAGTGCCACCATCAGACCGGCCTGAAACATGTCTGCGGGTCCTTCTCCTTGACTAATGATTGATGACTGAGACAGAGCAGCCAAAGCAACACGATACTTGGCGGCGCTCTAGGACTTCCGGAAGTCCATGCACACTTCCCTTCCCGCCACTCGGAGGCTGCTGCTACATCAGAGTATTTCCTGAAACCTTAAGTTTGCAACACCCATGTAGAAAGCTGCACACTTCGTAATATTCATATAATATTTAAGGTATATTTGTAAGAAGAGTTTTTTAAAAAATACTAAAATGTCAGAGAAATCCCGTTGGAATCACAAGCTGGTTAGGTTTTCTTTGTCTAAAGCAACCCTGAGCAATAGATGCGTGCTAGACTTTGAAAGGAGTGAAATGGACCTGTTTGGGGATGTTAAGAAAAAACATGGAACCACATAGGGAACCGAGGACAATGTGAGGTTTCGTGCCTTCTTGGGAAAAGTCTGGGGGACCTTAAATTTTCTTAATAAAATATAATGTGTCTATCATCACTCTGTTCTTAAATTTTAGAATTTCTGAAGAGGATATTAATTTTTTCCAGTTATATGAAAGCTGCTTTAGTATTTGACTGAAATTTTCAAATTTCTGCTAGTGTTTCTTTTTTTAATATTTTCTTTTTATTATTCTATTCACTTATTTGGACTTTATGTGCATTGGTATTTTGTATGCATGCATGTCTGTGTGAGACAGCCATATCGCCTGGAAGCTCTCTATGCTAGTGATTCTAATCATCAAGGAGACTGGATATGTTTTAAATTAATTAATTTGTGTGTGTGTGTGTGTGTTATGGCATGGCCCATGTTTAGAGATCAAAGAACAACCTGTAGGAGGTAGAGTTCGCCTTCCACCATGTTGACTGCAGGCATCCAACTCAGGTGGTCAAGCTCAATAGCAAGCACTCTCACTAGCTGAGCCATCTTGTTGGTCGCATTTGTGTTTTGCCTCCATGTGTGTCTGTGTGAGGGTGCCATATCCCCTAGAACTGGAGTTACAGACAGTTGTGAGCTGCCATGTGGGTGCTGGGACTTGATCCTGGATCCTCTAGAAGAGCAGCCAGTGCTCTTAACTGCTGAACCACCTCTCTAAACCACTCCGCCAACCCCTCCTTTTTTATTTTTTATTTTTATTTATGTATTTATGTATGTATGTATTATTTATTTATTTTTTGCTCACTTGTTTCTGTGGCACTGGGGCTGGAACCTAGTTCTTGTATAAGTTAGGCAGATGTCTCCACCACAATAACACTCCAGCTGTGAAAGGCTTCAATAATAAAAGTTACCTGGCAACAAAATTTACCTCAAACATGAAGGTGTCAACTTCCTCTTGGATGTCTTCCTGGCTTAACCTGTTTCCGTCCTCATCAGTCACAGTCAAAAGCAAGTCCAGGAAGGCCTTGCGCTTTCTTCTGGAGGGTTCAGGGCCCCTGCCAGCATTCCAGTCTTCCTCTGCCTTCATGGCAGTGACCCGTTCAGCAATGACCTGTCGGATTTAAATCATGTCGAATACACAATTTGCACTTTTGGTGAGGCTTACTGCTACATTTTTTTTTCTATGAAAATATGCCAGCTTCTTGAACTTATTCCCCCACCCCCCAAACTTTTCCTGTTTTTTTTTTCTATTTTAGTAACAACTTAGGCTCTCGTGGAAGAGCAACAAAGCCTTTGGTTAACACTAAGGACGTCGTGTAGTGAAACTATGAAATACGATTTTCATGTTAGGACAAACCGGTAATTTTCAATACTACTTTTGCAATCTTTCTAACAGGGGAATTGAGTCACCGGCCACTAAACAGTCCCCTAGAGATGTGTGGGAACTAATGAGAAGTAGAGAGGACACAGTTACAGAATACACTAATTCTAGATCCCTCTTGGTGAGCGCATCTGGTCACGAAGAAAGGAAATAGCAAGTTCATGAACCAACTGCTGCTGAGCCAATTCACCCTGCTGGCTTGCTCTTCAGGGAGCCCAGAATGCTCGGCCCTTGAGTGCTCCTGTGACAGGATCCTCTGCAACATACAGGTCTCAAGTGAAAGCCACTCAGAGATCTTCCCTGCCCATGCCTGACCTGCTCACTAACACTCTCTGTGCACCTGACTTTCCTTCTTTTGTCCCTGCTTCACTGACATGCTTTGACTTTGCATTTTGTTTATTATGTTTCCCCACAATCTCAAGCACCACCATCCTCTTAGCAGAGTCTGCTTCTGTGTATTGATTCCCCCACTCAGAATAAGAACCCTTGGGCAGCGTTCTAGAGTGTTCATTAGATTCATCTGAATAACAATAACAGAAACCGTGCATACACCTGCTGTGTTCATGAATATTTTTATTTTGCTTTTTTTTTTGTTGTTGTTGTTCTGTTTTTATTTTTTCAAGACAGGGTTTCTCTGTATAACAACCTTGGAACTAGCTCTTGTAGACCAGGCTAGCCTCGAACTCACAGAGATCTGCTTGTCTCTGCAAGGCTAGTGCCACCACTGCCTGGAGTTCTTGAGTACTTGTTTTCTTGTTGGGTAATTAGGTGACCTACCCGTGCAGAGGCTTAAACAAGTACATCCTCAGAAATTTGGGAACAAAATATTATGTTTTCTTTTATTCCTCATGGAATTCAGAGTGTTTATATCTCAATATATATATATATTAATATTTGCAGAATGAACAACACTGTCTATGCAGTCTGGAATTCACAGCTTCTTGTACTGATGTTGATGTTGCTACATTCAGAGTGAAGATGCAGTTATAAAACGTGACCGCTTCTCCTCCGGCAACCTGGCGATGACGCTGCGGGCAACTCAAGGTAGCATCTCCTTTATTTAACACCCACTGACTTAATCACGTGACCCATTGGTGGCTTGTCCACCAATGAAGAAGCAAGCCCAATATGTTTAAGCAAAAATTACAGCAAAGAAATGGTATAATTCAATGGGAAAATTTCACCACATTGCAGTTGTGTTCTATATTTTCAATTCAGCCTTGCTTTTTGGTAAACATGTCTTCAACCCAAAGGTGTCATCTGCTTATTTTTCAGTTTGGAAAGAAAATAGTCCTACCAAATTAATGGTCACTGAATTATACTATGTACTATGTTAGCTGTCCTTTCCTATGAGAACTGCTGCCTTCCTGCAAACATTTCGTGCACAGATCTCAGTCCCCTTCCTCCTTCCATCCAGAACCTCTGTTTGTTAATAGATGCTCAAAGTCCATAGTCCACAGAATGTTCTGTAATTATGGTTATGGATAACCTCCTCTCCTAGACTACTCTCCAATACGGTAGAGAACATGCTTGTCTGATTATTTTCTCTGTTTCCAACACTGGCTGCCGTGTGGAACACTCAACAAATATTTCATTAATGCCAGCTGAATATGTAATTTTGATGTAATATTGATCAATTTTTTACATTACTATTCTATTTAAATTTTATAGAAAATATATTTTACGCCATGATCCTACATTTGGGTATATATATATTTTTTTTTTAAAAAAAATAACAACATTGGGTTTAAGAATATGGGCTGGGTGGTGGTGGCACATGCTTTTAATCCCAGCACTCAGGAGGCAGAGATAGGTGGATCTCTGTGATTTCTGAGGCCAGCCTGGTCTGCAGAGTGGGTTCCAGGACAGGCTCCAAAGCTACGGAGAAACCCTGTCTCCAAAAATAAATAAATAAATAAAATAAAGACTATTCTCATATTTAGTAATAGCTGCACAACATTGTGAAGTCATTTAATTCCACTTGATTCTATGCTTTGTATATTTTGAACACATGTACACAGTGACACACATACACAAACACACACAACTTACATTGTTGGTGAAAGTATGTAGGCGCTTGAGTCCCCTTCTGTGTTCGCGTCCTTCTTTAAACAGAAGGTACCAAAGGTCAAACCAAAACCAAGGCATCTTCATTCTGCGGTATATCATATCACTCATCCTATAAACAGGATAACAGTACCTTTGATATCTGCTGACCTCTGGAACCCGGCCTCGATAACAGTAATAAATGAAATGATGCTGATTTGTGTTCGAAGCTGCTAGAGATTCATGTTGAATGTCCAGTGGTGGAATAATAGACCACTGCACATATAATGGAGCTTCAGCAAATAATGGTTGTACCGGGGAACTGAAAACTCTGCTCTGAAACCTGCAGATGTCTTTGCCCAGTGCTTTTATGTCTATAGTGCAAGTTCACAATTTCCCGGGAATGGGAGAGCTTTATACTGAAGAGTTAGATAAAACCTGCATCTAGGCTCTGTGCACCAACTCAGCCACTCTTCTGAGGGCATTAAAAACTCGGGCCAGTGAGAAGGCTCAGCAACTAAACAAACCTGTGAGCAGGCCTGACAACCTGAGGTCTAGCCTTGGGACACACGTGGCAGAAGAGAAGAACCAGCTTCAGTTTCTACAAGTTGTTCTCGACTTCTGCGTGTGCACTGTGGTGTATACACCCACACTCATACATATGCACACAAAATAGGTACGTGTGATTGAGAAATAAGCGGTCTTTACAAGAAACTGCACATTAAATAGCAACCTGTCACAGAGCTGTTTCCAGCACCTGCCTCTCATTTGAAATGACAGGGCAGACACACCTCTGCTCAGTCTCCTTTAGGACAGTCTAAGCGACAGCCCTTTGAAGGCTCTTTGAAGCTTTGAACACAATTCTAGAACATAACCATGCTTTGCAGTCTGATAATAACTTGATCTTTTTCTTTGTCAACAACTGTTAAAATTCCTAATTTTCTATTTCCTGGTTCAGTGGCCATCTTCCACACTAGTCTGTCGTCTGTGTCAATTTTAAAGTAACTGGTAATCAGCTGTATGATGCCTGGCTGGTTATAGATGTTCAGTAAGTATCTGTTAGCATGAAGCTAATTGAACAATAAGGGAATATAGTATAAATCACGAGAAATTCTAGCCCCAACTCTTAATAGGCGAATAACTCCTCGAACTTTTAAATTTCAAAAAGATGGCCTCAATTGCGAAATCACCATACAATCAATGCAGAAGATATGAAAAAAAATACATGGTATTAAAATTTTCCCAATACAACAGAAAGCACACACAGGAGAGTAGTAACCACTGCTAGCATTGTGGTATATATCTAGAATCGTGGTTCTCAAACTTCCTAATGCTGCGTCCCTTTAACACAGTTCCTCATATTGTGCTGGCCCCAAATTATAAAATTCTTTTCATTGCTATTTTGTAACTGTAATTTTGCCACTGTCATTAGCCATATGTAAATATCTGACATGCATGCCGTCTGATATGTGACCCATGTGGTAGGGTCATTTGACCCCCAGAGGGGTCACAACACACGGGCTGAACTGTTACAGAGTGTTCATAAAAATAATGGATAAATAGTAATAGATTAGGATTGCTTCTATCTTTCTTTTGCCTTGTGACATCATGGTGCTATGAGAAATTTTAAATTACTATAGCACTCAGACATACAATAAATTTATAGCAATCGCCTGTTACTAAAGTCGATGCCTATATTATGAAGTGAATCTTTAGTTTAAATTTTTATTTCAAACACAATCAAAATACCACATAGATGGATGTGATTAGCAATGGTTTTAAAGCCCAAATCAATAGCAATTTTAAAGAATATTAAAAGACTACACACACACACTCACACAGTCACACACACACACACACACACGCTTCCACATGCAACACTCACACAGTCACACGCACACACACTCACTCACACACACTCACACACACTCGCACACGCACACACTCAGAGTCACACACACTTGTACACACACACTCACAAACGCTCACAGTCTCTCTCTTACACACACACACACATGCTTGCACACGCATGCACTTACCTATACACTGTCCGGACGTACTCAGAATCACCATTACTTTGAGCTCCAATGTTCTTCCCCATAGCCGTTTCTGCAACATACAGAGAGAAACATTTCCTACGCAGCCAGCTGAGTTTGCCCGTGACACGGGACGCTGAGAGACAGGTGGATCCTGTTCTCTTCTCTTCCGTTCGCCCCTTCTTTTCCCTTCGGCACATCTTATTTACAGTCCTGTTATCCTTTCCCTTTGACCTTCCAGGAAAGGTGATATGGTGACTACTTTGGACATCCTCCCCCCCCCCCCCCCCCCCCCCGCTTCCCTGCCACGCGCACCCCGGGAATGACTGCTGCTTCTTGGGGAGAGTTATAACACTACCCTGAAGGATCCTGGGTCCTTTCCTATCAACCCCCTTATTCGTCCCACCCACAGAATCTTATTTTCTATTTCGGCCATTTATTTTCACGGTATAAACCGATCGCACTCACCACAGATTATATCCAACGCACAAAGAGTGACGTGGAAAAAGCAGTTAAATGCTCCTTGGTTGACGTGTTTTTCAAGCTTGCCAACCAATATATTTGCTTGCTCGTTCATGACATCTAAGAAATCTTCCAGAATTGTAAAATGGAAGGTGGGCGTTAACATTTTCCTCCTGGAGCGCCATTTGTTCCCAGTACTGAAAGCAGGACACATTATAATAAACTCAAGAGGAGCAGAGCCACAGCCGCGCAGGAGCCGCGAGCCCAGCCCCGTTAGCGCGATTCTGAAACAGCCTCCACCACGGTGCTGGTGCCGTAATGATCTCATTCAAATGAGAAAGGGAGCCGCATACTATAATCCCACTTATTCCCACAGTGTCGATATCTGGACTTCATTCTATGATATTAATAGTTAAAATTAATTTTATAAAATATTGAGAATATTTTGTCCATTTCTAAGATGAATTTCTGAAGACCAGCCCCTCCCCTAGGCCTTGATTTTCAGACACCTGTTTGAAGCCTGAAAAAGAGTTTACTAAATGCCCGTTCCTGGCTGACCTTCTCTTGGGCGAGATGCTTTTTTCCAGGTGTCAGATCAAGGCTGATTTATGTACATATCTGCAGTTGCCTGGCTGTTCCACTAGCTTTTCAAGGCTTCCCCCCACCACACACTTTCCCTCTACTGCAGATCTCCTAGTTCTTAGAGTGCTTTTCACACTTACGAGCTCACAACTTCTGGTTATAGGCATGGCTGGCTAGGAATTGCCTATTTACCATAGCTGTACGCTACCGGGTAGTTGGACAGTTGTCTATCAAAAAACCTCAGACAATCCTTACCTTGTGAGAAGTCCTAGGCCCAGCCATGGCTGTAAGAACTTGTACAGAAATGATTTATCAATTTGCTTTGAACTGGTCAAAATTACCTTAAGAGGAAATTTAAAAAAAAAAGAACAAAAAGATTTAAACATCAAAATAACTGCAATTATAAGAACACCAGACTAGGTCTGCTTTTCAGATCAATATTTTATCAATGTTTATTATTCTCTGTGGTTCATTTAATTCTTATGCCTAGAAAAAAACTTGCTCGGAGTTTCAAATAAGTATTTCATTCATAGAAATGATATTCTATCCACACTTGGGGACCAAATGCAGCTGAGGAAAATGAAAAGGTGAATCCCTTGATTATCTTTGGCTTTTGTTTTCACTAAGGGGAGTTCTTTGTCTCCGGAGCTTAAACTTATGCACAGCCCTTAATCACTTTACTTAAAGGAACTGGAGCTCAGGCATCCTTAACGTCAATTTATAAGCTTTTAAACATTAAACAATTAGAAATATTGTCCCTGGTACTCTGACTATGGGACCCTTGATTCAGAAACTTGGAGAAGAAAAAAAGAAAAAAAAAACCATTTCACTCTTTAGAATCAAATTAGACTAATGACACAGCCTTATCAAGAGAAAAAGAGAGAACTTAAAAAAAAAAAAACAATCCCCACCTCCTGTTGAACCACACACACTTCATGGCCCAATCCTCCATTTTTTTAGACCCTCCCTTGCCTTGCTAGTCCACCCTGACCTAAAGACTAGTCTCCATCTGAACACAGTGGGGCACTTGGGGTGTGAAGGGCGGGCTTGACATTTCTCTGTGGATGCAAACTTAGAAGCTTTTTACCGTCTGCTTACCTTTCTAGAAATGGTAACTTTTAAAAAGAGAATTTAAAAACTGTGGCTCAGCTACTTGCCAGCCCACTAATTAATAAATAAACCAGCCAAACCATGCAAGGGCTTAAAATAACATCCCCGATAGTAATCAGATTCTGCCAGCAGCCTAGTGGTCACCTAGTCCCCCAAACTCCCTCCCCAGCCATGGACCCTCAAAACAAACGTTATTGTTATTTAAAGGTTTGTTTGTTTGTTCCTGTACACATTGATGATATAGAAATCTTTGCCTCTGTTATCTATCACCTATGTCTCAGGTGCATTGGAGTGTTCTCCTTCAGTAAGGGAGTAGGATTGTAGGAACAATTTTTCTGAGAATGCTGCCTGTAGCTTGCCATCACCCTCAGACTCCCACTGCATCTGTAACAAGCTAATAATGTGACTAGAGATCCATTTATGACCATGCTTTTGTTCCGCTTATACGCTGTCCAGTCAGCCTGTTTAGAATGGACCTCTAGGAAAAACAATGCAATCAATCTCACTCTACTTCAGATTCCCACTGTAATTAACTCATTAATTAATTAAGCTCATTGAATGCATGGCTTGAATGTACCATAGTCTCTGTTTTTTCTTTGTAACCCACTCATGCCTCTGACTCACAACAATTGATAGTAACATTCCTAAAAACATTCCCTGAAAGCAGCAAGACACTGAAAGCAACACACACACACACACACACACACACACACACAATTTTGAAAGAAGCATGTGGCCACACATTGACAATATCTGGTTGTGGCTTTATGTGCTATTCTGAGTCAAAAGGGTTAGAAAAACATTTTTTTTACCTTTTGACAATCCTATAAAAGATGATTAAGACAAAATTTCCTCATTTTTTTTCTCAATACCATGTTCACTGTACTGTTTAGTAAACAGACAGAATAGCCTTTATGGTAGTGTGAATGAGAATGACCCACATGTTTGAATATACTGAGAATGCTCATATATTTGAATATGGAGTCTACTTTTTGTGTTTGAGAAGGATTAGAAGGTGTGGCCTTGTTGAATGAGGTATGCCACTGAAGCTCGGCTCTGAGGTTTCGAAAGTTTATACCATTCCCAGTCAGTTCTCTGCCCAATTCTTGTGGAGTGAGATGTGAGCTCTCAGTTACTGCCTAGCACCATACCCACTTGCCTGCTGCTCCCTGCTAAGGTGGTCATGGGCTCTAACCCTCAGGAACCATAAGCCTCAAATTAAAATATTTCTCTTACAAGTGACCTTGGTCATGGTGTTTCTTCGCAAGCAGTAGAACTAAATAAGACAGCCTCTGCTCCAGACATCAGGTCAGAACACCCCAGAACATTCCAGGCAAACAACCCCAAGGCTTAGTTTCTTTTCCTTATGCTCTACATCCTCTGGATAGTAATAATAAATTTATCACAGATGTAGTATGAGACCCTGAAAACCATGATGATGAAAACACCCTATTTTATTAGCCATGTGTTTTGAACTTTTACAACTGCCTGGTGCCCCACCAGTGTAGGACCACTGCACTGGCTGTTCAGGAGTCTGAGGCAGGAGACTTACAGACAAGTTCAAGGGTAGCCTTAGAACTACAGGATATGTTCAAAGTCACATCAGGCAACTCAGTGTCTCAAAATTAGAAAATAGAAAAAGGAGTAGACCTTAATGGATGCTGTGTGACAATAATCTTTTATCCTGTCACTTGTATTATTTTTAATAAAATGCTGACTGGCCAATAGACAGGCAGGAAGTAGAGGTGGGACAATAAGAACAGGAGAATTCTGGAAAGAGAAAAGCTCAGTCTGCAGTCGTCACCCAGACATAGAGGATGCAGATGAGAATGCCTTGCTGATGAAAGGTACCAAGCCATGTGGCTAACGCAGACAAGAATTATGGGTTAAGATGTCAGAATTAATTAATAAGAAGCCCGAGCTAATAGGCCAAGCAGTTATTATTAATGCAGGGATCTGTGTATTTCTTTGGGACTGAACGACTGCAGGACCTGGTGGGACAGAAACCTCTGTCAACAAACGGAAGACCATTTGCATGACATTCAGTAGCCTTAGATTTAATCTCCAATACAAAAGGGAACACCAAAAACCCAAAACAACAACTACCACAGAAATCTCCCTCCGAAGACTTGTATCCAAACGAGAACAAGAGTATTGGGACCTAATGAGAAACACGTGCAGCTATGGGAGTTATTCTCCCAGGATTGCAAGCCAACTGCAGAGAGAAATCACTGAATGGCCTGCACCGTGCCTCCCAAAACGCTCTTTGGGTGGAGCGTTAAGGAAATGTCCAGCTGTATCTGTCCCATGTATTCGGATGAACTTCTCCAGAGCACACCATCCCCTGTAGGGCTACATACCCACCTCCACGTTCTCTGCCTTATAAAGAGCCACGAGGGGCACTGGTCCAATCCAGAGTTTAATGAGGGGCAGGTGTCGGAATTCCTCTGTGTACTGAATTAACTGCTGAAAAAAGTCTGGAAGAAAAATATTTTGTCCTAAATTCGATGGAGACAAGAATATGTTCATTGAAATGTGCAAAGTTTTATCATCTCCTTTCGACAAATACATAAAGGAAGCGATAGATCACCATTACAGGAAGCTGCAGAGGGGGAGGGGAGCTCCCATGAGCTGCAATGTTCCTGTAGTCGTAAGGTTATTTAAAAAAAAATGTTATCTATCCTTCAAATAAATGTAACAATGATATAAGTTCTTATAAGATAATTATTAGGATTTAAAGTGGCAACATGTACATTCTTAATAAATTGGTGTTCAATGCCATGGAGCTGGAAAGTAGTAGAATGTGGCTTGGTCCCGGGACCCTGAGCCACTGTACCACACTTAGAAAAGAAACTGCAAACATCTCTTAGATAAAAAGTCTTGTCAGTATTGTCAAAATTTCAGGGAAAGAACTGGAAAGATGGTTCAGCCAGTAAAGTGATCTATTGACACAACATTCAACCTGAATTTGATCCCTGGGATCCACACAGTGGAGGGAAAGAGATGACTCTAACTAGATGTCCTCTGACCTCCACACATGCACTGTGACACACGTGAGCACACACATGTGCACACACTAAGTAATTAAATGAATAAAATAAATGTTAATACAGAAATTGTTTTAAAACTTTAAAACTTAGAACTGGAGAAATGGCTGTGTGGGTAAAAGCATGTACTGCTCTTCCTGAGGACCAAAGTTCAATTCCCACCACTAATAGCAGACCACCTTAAATCCAACTGCAGGGGATCTAACATCCTTTTCTGGTCTCCACAAGCACTCACACATATGTGTCGTACATTCACACAGATACACACATGTACATACACAAATGTATATATATATATGTATGTATGAATATTTTTTAATACTGGGCTATGTCAACTCATTGATTTCAGAGCATTCTGTTCCACATTTGCCTTCTACGTGGTTTGGTCTGACATGATAGGAAGATGAGGACCTTTGAATCTTTGGTTGGAGGAAGTCAGAACCAAAGGTTGGACCCTTTGGTTATTTAATAGGAAAGGCTGGCAGATGTATGAATTTAGATGCCAACAGGATTCCACAGGCAACACTCAGAGGGAGGATACCAAGGCGTGTATCTGGACATTAGCCACAGAATAAAAGGCACAGCCTCTTACATAAGTGTAGCTCAGAGCAGAGATTCTATCTTAGCGTGTTCTGATAGGCCACTTTGGCTCAGCTCAGTGCTGAGTATGAAAGGTCTCCATAAATGCTTGGTTGGTGCTTAAAGGACTCGCTGTAAACAAGTGCATCTAACTAACTCCAATAGTTTCCTCTATAAATGGAATGAGTAAGAACAGCAACAAAACCCTTAACTCGGAGAGTTCTCAACCACTTCCCAAATAAAGTCAGTTTCATAACTGAAAATTGAGCAATGGTTTTCTGTCCCCAAGTCCAGTACTTGTGGACTGAATAAGCCGTCCCTTTCTAAGTGGCCATTCTCCTCACTCAGAGTCACTTCAATAAGAACGACTCGGAAAAGCCCCATCAGCTCAAAGTTCTTTTGCATCTGGTCTTAGTCACTAAAGATTTCAGTGTATTTCCCCAAAATATGAGACTTACCAAGGGTGAAGTTGGAGGGGCTCTATGGCTACCCTTCCAAGTAGAGTTCTGTTCCCAGACATTTATAATTCCAAGTGAGGAAATTCAGAAAAGGCCAAAAATACTTAAAAGATAAACCCTGAAGGGCTAGCATCTTGAAAATAAAATTACAGAAAAAATTTTTCAAAAATTATATAAAAAATATATCCTTAAAATTTCAGGAAGTGGTTTAGTTGAAAACCCACTAGACTGTCTCAGAGGCCACTTTATGTTATAAAATAAGTAATCACGTGTATATCTTTACAGTCAAAACATCCAGATGTGCTAATGACAATCATAACAGATCAACTGTGTTCGTAAAGAAATGGGTCAAAAGTTAAAATACATAAATATATCACCATCATTGTAATGGCTTGCATCTCAGTGCATAATTGCTGGCGTTTGAAATGTCATGCCAGACAATACAAGGGTGACGATGACGTGGATGAAACCACAATGGGGAAATGCAGATGTTTAAAGAGCTGAGGCCTCGAGGAGATGTTCTTTGTGGATGGAGATCTCCCTATTTCTTGAGGGTGTCTCAGTGTTCTTAGATACACACATAGGGCTTCCTTAAAAGGTCAACCTTGTGGTAATGCGCTTGTGCCCAGACCAACGTACGAAAACAGTGCCTAAAGATGAATTAGAACTCTGAGTCTTTGAGCCGTGGGCGAAGGAAGTAAAGTGCATGCCTAGAAAACTGTGGAAGAGGAGGTGGGGGAAGCTGGGGTTTGCCTAAGCAGTACAGTCTGAAGGCTGGCCAGCCTGGCCTTCTGATGACCAAGGCAACCGAAGAAAGGTTCAGGGAGACACCAGTTGGATTTCTGTATCCTTTCTCTGTGCTCAGGATGCTCAGGATAGGTTGGCTGCTGGGATTCTGCCCATGTTAAAGATGAACTTTTCTTAGCTGGGACACTCAGACTCATACACTGACCTCCTCTGAAAAACCCCTTATATTCAAGATACTGCCTTGCCAGCTCTCATTCTACGGAACATGGTGACCCACCCCCTCCCCCGTATATAACCAGAAACACAGAATGGTTTCATGAAAATCCGAGTATCTACGCTGAAAGCCGTTTTGTTCCCCAATGGGCGTTTTGGGCTTTGGATTTTGTCTGTCATGATTTTCACAGTGGGATGGTTAGGAAAAGCTCTCAAGCCTCAGGGTGGAGGGGAAGTTAGTTTTCTTTTGAGTATAGGCGAGAAAGCAGCATGAGTGTTAGCAATGTGGTTTTAACATAACTACGTAGATTGCTAGGTAACTAATGTTAACTTTACTTGGATTTCTGCTAGAAAATATCTTTGCTACATACTTTCCTATGATGTCTCAGCTAAGTCATGTCACGTTGTCCTGAGGCGCAGTTTTTGTCTGGGGTCACAGAAATGATAATAAAGGGTCTTAAGAAGGTTTAGAGTTGATGCTCAGCCCGTAGTAACTATTAATAATTAGTATGAAGAAAGGGTACATGCTGAGGCAGGTTCATGTTAAAACGTGCCATGCTGGATGTATCTCCCCTATTCTGGGCATCCTAACATACACGGCCACAGAAATTAAGTGTTAAGATCAAATAAATGCACTACTCCAACAGGGGACCACAAATACCACTATGGTGAAGAACTTTCTGACTTAAATTAATTTTTTTTTACATCAGCAGAACAAAAAAACTGCATAAAATGTATTTTTAAAAGATTATTTCAAGTTTTGAAAAAAAATCACTCTTTAATAAATAAAGTTTTTGAAACTGGCCATGTAATTTTCATCTCAAGGCCCAGGCAGCAGAGTCTGCTCAAGTAGTCTTGCAAAACTTCCTCAGAACGGTCGAAATACAAAGGCCAAGAGAATTTTAGCTGCATATTGGTCAAGCCATGCAATGTCTGGGTGGTGAACCCCCAAACAACCTCTGCTCTCTTGTTTTCTTAACTAAGATACAAAGAAGAATGACATTAAGTTTGAGGATATTTGCAGCTTTCCCAGGGGTTTCCTCCTTAATGCTTTGCAAAGCACAGCAAGAGAAAAGAGACCTCTGAGATATGGAGAAGAGAGAAAAGACCAAAGGAACCACAGGCACCTGGAAATATTGCAGTCTGTATATACACTCGTTATAGGACGGGAGAGACACGGTGCAATTTGGCAGGCACCAGAGCGGAACCTGGAATCGGGAGACCTGGGAATTTATTCTATAGGGATCAAAGATTTCTACTTTCTCCTAGTAGCCAAAGAGAATCGGAGGGATGTGAGGGCCCCTAATATGGCAAAGGGTGGGGAGGGGTCGGTTAGACAGATTTCCTGGACTGACAAGGAGCCTAGCAGTCTTCGGGTCAGAGTATAGATTCCTTGTACAAACCCTTACCTGCACCGTTGGGCTTCATTAGCGGCGCGTGTCCCACGAAGGGATAGGCGGGACCCACGGATGGGATAGGTCGCATCTGCAGCCATTTCCGCGCGTAGCTAGCCAGCATCTGCAGAATGTTGAGCAGGACAGTGGCGCCGGCCACCGAGACTGCGCTTGCTGCGCCCCAGAGCAACAGCTTCTGCCCGATGAGCCCTGACCACAACCACATCTCTCTCTCCTCTCCTAGCTGGCTGCGGGCTGGTGGCGTTCAGCCGCTGCGGGGCGGGCGTGGCGGACTGAGGGAGGTCTTGGGACTGAGGGAGGTCTTGGGACTGAGGGAGGTCTTGCTCCAAGTTCAAGCGACAGCGTCAGGGGACAAGTTCGGGAACTCCAGGATGCAGGAGGTCTGAGCTCAGCGAGAGGACCCGGGACACGTCCGGTCCGCTCCGGTCTTCCTGCCCTGGAGCCCGGTAATTCTGCAGACGCCGCTGCCGCCGGACCCTGGGGACAAAGTTTCTGAGGCTAAGATAAAGCGCCTCTGGCTTGTTATGATGCCCCGCTGGAGCCTGCGTCATCCACGCGGCCTCTTGGGTGCTAGACGAAAGCGAAAGACCCGGAACAGCTTCTGAACTCTGAAGTTCAGAATGCACTTGAAGTCTCTCGGTGTGAAAAGATGGCAGAGGAGGTCGAATTTAGGAATTTAGGACAGTTTCTGGACGGAGAAAAAAAACTAGACAGACATATATATCTCCAGCTCTGGACGCACTGAGGTCTGATACGGGGGGGGGGGTGCTGTTTAGGATTTTGCAACACCCCCTGCTAGATGTGGAGGAATTATGGGTCTCATGAGCAGTCTGTTATAAAAAATTCAAGTGAGGAGTCATGGGTGTTGAAACGCAATCTTTGGAATTCTAAATTCACTTGTCCTTGCGCAACCTGCATCAGCTGCTGCCCTAAGGCAGGGTTGGTTGACCTGGGAGATAGCTTCTGCTTTCAGGGTTAGGCACAGCAGCCATCTTCCTGTGACCTAGACCTTTAGGAAAGCCGCTAGCCCAGTGAGTGTCAGCTGACTGATTGAGACACAGCAGCTAAAGCAGATTGCAACCTAGGTACTTCCCCCCAAATCCTCTGATGGAGGAAAGTCAGAACTTGAGGGAACAGGAAGCAGGAATAAAGGATGGAAAGGTAACGTTCAGATCGGAAGAGGATGGAAGAAGGGATGCGGAGGGTTTGGGAAGGAAGCAATCGCCATGGCGGGCAGTCAAAACGCAGCTAAAATCACTAAGCCTACGGAAAAGAAAGGCCAGCGAAATCTGCTCCCTCTCTCCGTCCCGATTTCCCTCCCCCAGGGGTCTGTTTTCTGATTACCCGTGGACGTGTCCAGTCCGAACACCGCTCCTCTTCCTTCTACACCTGATTCTCCTTACCAAAGGGCGGGGCTGGAGGTGCCCTCTCCTAGTAGAAGGTCCCTTCCTGCACACTAGGTAGAGTGCCAAGAAAAGTCGAAATCCAAAGAATGTCTTGGATTCCCGTTTTTCTCAGTTATTTTCTTAGAGACTTCGCGGGTTACCCACAGATGCCTATGTGGACTCTGTGATGTAGAGAAAACAAACCTGGGGCTTTCCCAGTTCAATTAAGATTTATGTAATTGGAGGTCAGAGGACAATAGATTTCTTTCCACCATGTGGGTTCTGGGGAATCAAACTCAAGTGGTCAAGCTTGGTGGCGAGCTCTTCCTTTGACCAACTGAGCCATCTTGCTCTCTCTCCCCTCCAGTCACTTTTTAGAGAGCCATTGGTAGGCACCTACGTGAAGAGAAGTTTGTAAACTACTAAGTGAAAGAGCAAAAGAAAATAAGTGATAAAGCAAAACAAGCTTTATTATATATATTATCATTACATTACTATTTAAAGTGGTATGCTACCTAGCATATGCATTCATTAATGTAGAGAATTAATATATTTCATAAAACATAGTAATATAAATATAGCTGTGTCCATTGTTTGCAAGTTTCCTGTGCTGTAATATTTATGAATGTTCCTTCTCTTAGATGTCTTTTGACTCAATTATATACATATTTCATTTGAATACATATGGCTAGAAGTAGAAGTGCTAAATGATGTAAATATTCAGCCTTAATATTAATCGCCTGATTTCAAGAATTGCACCAATTTGCTGTATTTCTTATATTTTATGGTATGTAATGCACATACGTCAATAAAAATAAAATATAAATAAGATGGGAGAAAATTTTTCCTTGCAACTACAATCAAAAGGAAGTAGTTGGAGGGAGGGGAACTTAGTCGTCTTCTTTTTCTTCTTCTTTTTTATTTCTGCATTATTGAATCACTTCCAGGCTTCCTTAAGAAATAATATGTTTACTAAGCGTTGTTAAGTATGTCTCATGGGTTTTAGTTTCCTCCCATCTAAAGGACTAAGGCTGAGCTTTGAGGTCAATTACAGCTATCAGAGTAGAAGATAGGCCTCTACGTGATTTGCTGCTAATCTCTATGGACAAACAAGCATTGTAAGGTAAACCCGCCTCTTCAAACACAAGTGGGGTGTGCCTCAAGGAAGTGACAAGTAAGGAAATCGGCAAAGGGAGGTTCCCAAACAAAGAAAGACGTGAGTTCTGCTAGAACTTCAGGGTCTCTCCTTGGAGCTCAGGCGATGCTCCTTGGGAAGGTAGTTCAAGTGTACGCGTGTATTTAGGAGGAACAGACAGAGATTGGACAGCAAACTTGGGAGCTTTGTCAGTGTTTCACTAGTGAGGAGGGTGGCTATTGAAGATGTGGCCGGAGGGTGGGGAAGGTGAGCCAATTTGTAGACATTCAGCAAGAAAGATATTGAAGAAGGGCAATTTATAATATAATAAAAGCTTTGTTCCCTTCATCGGTTCTCCAGGTGGTTTTTTTCTTCTTATGAGGTAACAATTTTTCTCATACCATGGCCTTATAATACTGCAACTTCAGACTACGTGTAGGAAATGTGTGGTAATATCCTTCCGCAGAACAACAGGTGACAATAGAATATCATCGCCCTTAGAGTCCCCACCAGCAAGTGTAGTGGTGTTCTTTGGGGCCCGTGATTGCATCGCCTGTTGAAATATGAGCGGCGGCCGCTTGGCTACCTTATGCCCGAAATAACAACACACAAACTGTATTCAGTTAAACACTGCTTGGCCCATGAACTCTAGCCCTTACAGGCTAATTCTCGCACCTGGACTAGCCCATTTCTAATGATGTGTGTAAGCACCCCAAGGTGCGCTTACCGGGAAGAGTCTAGCCTCCGTCCATCCTGGTGTCTCTGCTCCAGAGAGCAGAGCTGTTGGGTCTCTCCAGGAGCAGAGCAGAGTCTGACCTCACTTCCTCTTCCGCCCAGCATCCTATTCTGTTTACTCCTCCCACCAATGCTTTAACCTATGAGGCCAAGCAGTGTGTTTATTACTTAACCAATGAAATCAACAGATTGATATATGACACTCCCACATCAATCGCCGACATGAAGGTAGTGGGTTTGTGACATGTGTGAAGGACCACTCCTGCCAGGTTGTCACTCACAAAGCTAATCCAACCAAACACTGAGGGGTCTCGTCATTTCCCTTCCCAAAGACAATTTGATACAAAAGGGGGCTTTCCCACTTGATAGAACTTTCACTGATACGTTAAATGTTCCCCTCCTTAAACCGGTGCATTGAATATTAAAGACAATTCCTAAGCAATCCCACCCATTTATAATATAACACCATCATTGCAATCCAGAATTTTAAAGGTTCAAGATTCCGAATGGTCTCCTTACTTCTCCACATGCATCCTCTCGGGTAACCCTGTCGATTTACAATATAACAGCATCTGTGGACTGTACTGATGATGATGGCTGCATCCTCTTGGGTAACCCCATAGATTTACAATATAATAGCATCTATGATCACTGCCTGGCAATGATTTTTCAACATTACAATGATGCTTTAAAAATTTCGTATTTGGCCGGGTGGTGGTGGCACATGCCTTTAATTTCAGCACTTGGGAGGCAGAAGCAGGTGGATCTCTGAGTTTGAGGTCAGCCTTGTCTACAGAGCGAGTTCCAGGACAGACTAAAAAGCTACAGAGAAATCCTGTCTCAAAACAAAACAAAACAACAACAAAAACAAAAACAAAAAACCAAAACAAAACAAAAAAAAAAAAACGTATTTGGTAGAAACTTAAAACTTGAATTTTAAGTTTTGACTTTTCCAAGGCTGGTGAAAAGTCTTGTACAATGTTGGGTAACTGCAACAGGCTAGCTGTGTTGGCATAAGAACAGACAACCATCATTTCTGGATTTCTGCATTGCCGGCACACGTTGGATCCAGGTATTCAGTATTTTGTAGGAGGGACTGAATAAGGCCTTACATGAGATGACTTAACAGTAGGCTAAATGTCAGTGTCCTGAGAACGCTTTGAGTACACAAACTAACAGGTATGGTAGATAAATAAGATCCATGGTTCCTTATCAGGCTTTCGTTTTCAGTGGGGACCAGGACAGGTGCACATGGTGACAGCGCTCACTTTGTACCTCCAGCCTGTGCTTCTCCAGATATCCAAACGCTCAGACATTCTCTTCAGCCTTCTACTGAGCCTCTAGAGCACAGTGTGTTCTAACGTGCTCCAAAACTTACCTTCTTGCTCTCTTTCCAGTTCCACCGTATTTCCAAGAGACGGGGCAAAGGCTCAAGAGTCATTTTTGATCCTTTATACAGCCACACTTCACATCAAATCTTACCAGCTCACTTTCAAAATTGATCTAAAGCCCTGCAACTTTCCCATCTGACTAGCTACTGCCATCGAACTTGAAACATGAGGATTTCTTGCCAGGGACCCCTTCATCCTCAGAACCTAAGTAATTTGACATTTCTGACCACTACTCATGATGCTGCAAAGGCATCTTCCTGAGACCCCTGGCACCTCCCTGATGCCGTCTTCTGAGCCATCCTCTTCCATGACTCCTCCATTTTCTCCTTGCTTCTCTGCTGCTCCTCGAGTACTGCCATTGTTCTTCCTGTGTGTTAAGTCTCACTCCGGACTTCTCATGTATATATATTCCCATGGTTGATGTTTCTCATCTCTGGGCCTTTGACTGTACGACCTCAGAAGTACAGCCTTGGGTGGTTGCGCCACATGAAACCGTGTGCTCGGCCGCCTTCTCTTGTTTCTTTGTGCCCCTGATCACTGGCTGGCTCTACGTTTCTATTCAATTTGTCTTCTGCTTGCTTATCTTGTCCCCTAGAATCTAAATTCTCTGAGAGCAAAACCTTTGTCTTATGCAGCCCAGCAGGAAAAGCATTTAGCCAAAATGTTTACTGTTTGAAAAAAAAAAAAATATTCTGATGAGGACAACATAAGAAGGGTCACCTTCTAAAACAAAATTTTCTTTGGTGTATTTTTTATGAAAGAAACTTCCACAAAGCAATCTCTCGTTCTCATGCTCGCTCTCCTGCTCTTGCTCACTCTCTCACCGCCTACCTATCTGTCTGTTTTGAAACTTCTGGGGGAAATTGACTGTCTGCTTAGAAATAATTAAATAATCTGGGTGTAGTGGCACACACCCCTAATTCTAGTACTTTGGCCATGGAGATCAGATCTGTGGATCAGGAGTTCAGAGCCACTGTCATCTGCATAGAAAATCTGAAGCTGGCCTGGGATTCCTTGAGACTCTAACTCGAAAGAGAGAGAGAGAAAGAGAGAGAGAGAACAAATGTGTGTTAGAAACGGCAAAGATAGTTACA